CCTTTACGGACCTCTTAGGAATGGGGTAAGGTCCACAGTGGACAGTTTAAGGTTGAAGCTGTGTATTCATGTAGATAGAAGCTATATACTCATGTAGATTCTGGTGTTGCCTTGAATATCATTGTAAGGGGGCATCATTTCATATTCAGTGTTAACGCAATTCAGAAAGTAACTGAGAGCACAATCCCTTGTATTTGAACTCGGAAGGAAGTCCTATTGAGTTGCCTGGCGCTTGCACTCCACCTACTGTGTATAACCATGTGGTGGCATTACCCATTTCCACAACGATAGGGGATTGGAAGAAAAGGTAGAATAGAATAGAATAGAATAGAATAGAATAGAATAGAATAGAATAGGATTCTTTATTGGTCAAATGTAATTGGACACACAGGGAATTTGTCTTTGGTGCATAGGCTCTCAGTCTACATAAAAAGAAAAAAATACATTCAGCAAGAATCATAAGACACACTTAGTGATAGTCATAATAAGCAATCAAATAAGCCATCAAATCATACTAGGAAACAAATAAAACAATATAAATCATAGAGATATAAGCAACATGGTTATAATCATAAGTGGGGGGAGATAGGTAATAGGAAGGGTGAGAAGAATAACAGTACTATAGTCTTAGTAAATAGTTTGACAGTGTTGTGGGAATGAGTTGTTTAGCAGAGTGATGGCATTGGGGTGGGGGGACTGTCCTTGTGGCTAGTTGTTCTGGTGTGCCCTTGAGAGTAGAAGTTGAAACAATTTATGTCTAGGATGTGATGGGTCCTGGACCTTTAACAAAATGAAAAAGATGTTCATTTAATAAAGAATGACCAATACTTGTTTCCCCAAGTTTGCTAAACCTTAAAATCTGGTTTTGATTAGTAACATTAAATATGACTCATGGAACAATAATAAATATAACAAAATGAGAGGCAGGGGCAACTTTGATCATGTTTGTGCAGAAGACAGAAAGCTGATTGATGTGAGGAAAAAGGAGAAGAACTAATGAAGGAAGCTTTGTCAGTGCTTATTTCAAGACAAGAATGAAATGCCTCTTTTGCTTGCTCCTGTCCATTTTACATTTTCCTTTGAGGTAACATAGAGTACTTCTGCTCCAAGAATAATCTTATTTCCTGACC